TAACTTTGATAAAGAATATCTCTTTGGTTTTGAGACTTTAGTCTTTGCAACTTCAGGGATCTTATCTATGCACAATCAGCTTGTAACACTCCAAAGAGAAAGGAAAACTTTAAATCGCATCATATGACCCCTTTAACATAGAAGACATATATACAGTATATAGGCCTATGTGTGTGTGTGTGTGTGTGTGTGTGTGTGTGTGTTAATGTGTGTGTGTGTGTGTGTGTGTGTGTGTCCATACTGTACATACATCAATCAGAAAACAGACACATAACCCTATCGCTCAGATATAAAATTTTTATACAGAACTTCCCACCAATTGTTACACAGAGCAGAACAGAATTGGCATCCTTTAGGATTTAAATATAAATGGCATGTTTTTATTAGTAATAATGACGCTAAAATGCATCATATTTTCAGACAATGGAGTGAGAAAAGATGTGATGAACCGTATGGATGCATTTCAGTAAATATACCCTAAAAAAACCCGCAGAGGTCTAATATGTATCAAAACTTAAATTATAATACAAACTAACAGCAGGCAGGGTTCGTGATGAATAGATTAAGGAACTATAAAGCCTAAAGCACCATATCTGTTTTGAAACAGAGGCTTATTGTTGAAGAGGATGAAGACATTGCTGGGTTATTACCTGACTCCGGCTAGACCAGAAGAGTATCCTCCGCACAGAAGCGCATCCCTCGCTCACGGTGCTAGAAGATAAACCACAAATAATTCATTCAGAAAAAGCAAATCAGTTTTAATTTCGTAATACTGAGCGCATCTGTTCGCGATGTGTCTCAGTACTTTAGCACCGCCTGTTGGTGTGGATACAGCATCCAGCTCCACTAGAAATAAGAAAAACAGACAAGCCTATATATCTACACTTGTTATATGGATATGTTTGTGTGTTAAATTATTATTGTGTGTGGCTATGTGATTTTATATCCATATTGTACACGTGTGCCGCTGAATCATACTGTTTTCCACACAATGTGCACGTTGACTCATTAATATGGACGGATGACACGCACTTGCAACTTTCACCAGCAGATGGCTGTGCAAATCAACGCTTATTTTATACGTTTATTTCATTATTTTTGCAGCGATTTATACATATAAAATCATGCCTTAAGACAAAGTTAGCATTCCATGATGTGGGTCATGCCAACAAGCTGGTATCTGTAATAATCAGAAACATAGAGTCAAAACGTTTTCGTTTCGTGTTTGTTGATGGCTTGTCACTTTACACACGGTCCCTGAGCGGATGGGCGCTCCCCGTGTGCGCTGGTGCTGATGCAGACAGACAGAAGCATCTAACCGGACATAAACCACAGGAGGTGTTTGAAAGGTAAGCCGCATTATTGTTATATTCACCTCGCTTCTGATGAACTATTCTCAATTATATCGTACAAGAAACGATTCAACAAACAACTCAGGGATTTATTATGAACTTCAACTTTAAGCTTTTAAAAGTGGGCGTTTTGACAGTTGTAGACATTGGGTTTAAAACGCTATTGCAGCAGAGACCTATGCTTGGGTGCTAAACACAGAGGAGGGGTGATACTTAAATAACTGAACTGGAAATACTATGGGCATACTGATGGCATAAGAATGGCTTGGCTTGGTTGTTTGCCGTCTCATATACAACATCTCCAGGAGCCCCGCTGTTTTATTGTGCCAGGGGAGTGCGCACGTTGTGCATTCATTGTGAGATCCTAATATTATCTTCTTAAAGTTATGGTTGCTCTGCTGCTGCTGCTGCTGATAATGGCTGTATTAGTCCTCACATGCTGACAGCAGGGAGTTTAATGTCTGGATAATATATTGAATGGGGAACAAGTCAAAGCTGCGCGTTACAAATCAGAGGATGGGGGCGGATAGATTTCTCCACGTTGTTGCCAAGATGCTGTGATGATGCTCAGGCAGATCATCGTAATAACTTTCACAATTAGAAATGTAGTCTCTAATCATCCCTTTGAGAATCAAACATTACTTTAACAGGTAGAGGAGGAAACTCTGGTCATATCAACACAAAATCCAAAGAATCATTATGCAAAATACTTTAATAAAAAAAGAATTAGTAATATTTTAAATGATTGTAATCTATTTTTTATATTATATTATATAACGATTATTATATATAATAATTATTTACATTTTAATATAATTAAAAGTGGTTTATATAGGTAAATTCAGGTTGAGTGGGACACACTGTGCCATTGAAATGTCTAGCAAATGTCCAAATCAACCAGAATTCACCCCTGAGAAATATATTAGATTTAAATATAGGGTAATATTGTTGTGTACCTCCTTTAATTTATACCACTATAAATAAAAAAGTGATACAGTAACAAAAACACTGCTTTAGAGTCATGAAAATCTACTGAGAATAATAACTGTGATTAAAAGTAATTAATTAAAAATACCTAAATAAAATGTCAAAATGCAATAAACCATTCAAACGAGAATGAAAATTTGGGGGAGGATCAGGATGTGTGTTAATTGTTATGAAAATGATGTTAAAATGCACAACATCTTTTAATGTTTCTACAAATAGTCTTCATTTTCTACATCCATTTATTAAGTAATTTATTCGATTTTTTTGAAATTGACATTTTGTTCATTTCAACTGCAGCCGCGCAACCATAAAGAATTCATGGATGAATAATAACATATTGTAACATTGTGTTATCAAGAGGTTTTTCAGTGCCCAGCATGCTTTGTGTGAGCCTAAAGGGGATGAATAAAAGTATAGACAGCTGAGTGTTATTTTATGTTTTTGAGCAATATGAGCAGGGGGAAATGTGTGACTGCTTAATGTTCTGTTATGCTGCCATTTAGAAAGGAGTCTGTTTTTTTGTTTGTTTGTCTTTTTAGAATTTTTAGAGTTTACTGGGGGTGAAGAGTGAAGTTTGTGCTCTGTTCAGAGTGGACTAATGTATGCTAACACTGGCTTTTCTTAGTAAACTTCAATACAACAAGGTCTCCTTTGCCTTGCACCACCCACCTGCATCCTTGGATACAATATTTGCTAATCTAACAGGACAAACCAGAACCATGCTTGTTACCAGCAAAACAAAGATGAGAAAGCTGTTTGACTGAAGTGCTAATGAATCAGCAGGCTGTTGCTGGTTAAGCCAGTCAGCTAACATGGTTTTACAGCTTTATTCCATTTGCTAACCAGGTGTGACACAGCAATAAAATCAGTCTTCAGTGCACATCAGATCTTTTATCAGATCAGTTTTTTTGTGCCACGACAGCAACAGGACATCTATCCCATTCCGGATTTAAAAAAATGAAGCAATAAAAAAAGCAGATAAGGAAAAAGGTGGAAACAAACCTGCACACCAGAATACAAAACACAACACACATCGGCAAACAACTATGCTAGTATTGATTACCTTTAAAACAGAAAACAACCTCATCACCAGTTATGCTTTTTTTTGTTCTGTGGCATTTGCAATACTCGTTGCGCTTTTGGAAGTAATCTGTAAATGAATGGTTCTCCCAACGAGTGAGAGATCTTCATCAGAGGCCAGTGTCCATCTGTCTATAAAGGATAAGACACAGTTATGGCACCAGTTTTCTAGTCACCAGTCAGATTTGCCATCTGCTTTAGATATAAATGGAGCATCTTTGAATGATATTCAGCGATGCATGATTACCAAACTGACTGTATAAAGCAATTAATAGTAGTTGAAATATCACTGCACTGCACAGAATGTTGGTTGAAGCTCATAATTGGATCATGAATAAATCATCAGAATGTACACCTGCTCTTGGCTGATTTCTCTTTCGGCTGCTAGTCCTTACTAATCTTATTAAAGTAGAAATGTTAGTGACACCTTGCTGGAATTGGTTTTTGTTTTGCCAGTTGAATCAGAGGGCTGAAAACTTACAGCTTAAAACTTAGGGCTTGAAAGTACTTAGAGAAAACATCTCCAGGTTACGTATGTAACCATGGTTCCCCGAAGGGAATGAGATGCTGCATCGGAAACGCTATGGGAACGTCCCCAGCATGACCACGCTCTGAATCACATGTGTAATCAGTACAATGGAAGGGCGAGACGTCATAGGCGGGGGACGTAGCGACCAGGAAGCTATAAAAGCACGTGAGGTGGAACCGGCTTCAGCTTCAAGGAATGAAGCAAGCGCTTGCAGGGATGCCGGAAGTATGGCTCTGAGACGCAGCATCTCGTTCCCTTCGGGGAACCATGGTTACATACGTAACCTGGAGACGTTCCCCTTCAGGAACTCGAGCTGCGTTGGAAACGCTATGGGAACGAGAATGCCCACGCCACCAGACTTGCAAATCCCTGTCTAGTGTGGAAGAGCACAGCTAAGACGAGAGAACAGAAGAGCCAGGAGTGGCTCGCATATCTAAGTCATAGAATCGGACAAATGGGAGGGGCGTGGACCATCCCGCTGCGTTGCAGATGTCTTGCATAGACACACCAGCTAAGAAGGTCTTGGAGGCCGCCATACCTCGGGTCGAATGAGCCTTGACCCCCAAAGGCGAGGGGAGATCAGAGGACTCGTAGGCAATAGTAATGGCATCAACTATCCACTGACTGAGGGTCTGCTTCGTAGCAGGGAGACCCCTATCAGGGGGACCATAGCATACAAGCAGTTGGTCCGCCCTTCTCCACAGGGCAGCTCTGTGGATCATGCAGTTAAGCTTTTGCAGGTCAGGCTCCCTGAAGGGAGGAGGACAAAAGGCCTGTAGCATGATAGGCTGTGGTGTAACAGAGGGAACCTTAGGGACATACCCCGCACGAGGGTAGAGAAACACTTTGGCCATGCCGGGCGCAAAGTCCAGATAAGAAGGGGCCACTGAGAGGGCCTGAAGATCGCCAACTCTTTTTAGAGAAGTAATAGCCAGAAGAAGGGCAGTCTTAATTGTCAGATAGCGATCAGAAATGTATTCAATAGGCTCGAATGGAGACTTACAAAGAGCTTCTAGCACCACAGCCAGGTCCCACGTGGGGACGCGGGATCGTACTGGGGGCCTCAGCCTCCAAAGGGGAAGCCACTCACAATACGGGCTCCCTCGAGAGCCGACTCAGCGTGTTTCGCTCCCAAGCAGACCATGCACAGACTGTGTGTATCCCCACTCATGATTTAGCGTGGGCAGGGAGGAACAAACAACCTGTAACATGATCTGCTTTCGCCCAGATGCTTTGTTTTACCCTCAGCCTTTTTTGCCATATTGAGCTTATATGTACTGATTTTTCGCTTAATGACAGAAAAGCTGACACCGGTTCCACCTCACATGCTTTTATAGCTTCCTGGTCGCTACGTCACCCGCCTATGACGTCTCGCCCTTCCATTGGACTGATTACACATGTGATTCAGAGCGTGGTCACGCTGGGGGCGTTCCCATAGCGTTTCCGACGCAGCTCCAGTTCCTGAAGGGGAACTTAGAGGCTCTTATACACAGAAGCATGTGGTGAATCTCTCAAAGTCTCCTTACTGTGTTTTATTTTCATGTTCCAGATACATTTGATGCTTGTATGGTTTCTACTGTATCAACAAATACTATATTTTTAATGTTCATATTAACATACTATTTATTTAAACCAAAATCTCATCAAGTTAATGTGTTTTTAACATTTTTTTAATTGTTTCAATACAATGTAACAGCTATAAAACAGTAAAAAAGTATATTAAAAAGCTTTTATTCTTTGTAAACAGCGCAGATAGCATGAAGTTGGTTGCAAACATAGAGATGCACCTTTAATTTAATCAAGTGCTCACTAAAACGTCTCACTCATAGATCATCATTTCAATTTCTTTTCGATTCAGACATGACTTAAAGATTAGTAGTCCAAGTGGATCAGTTTCTAAAGGGATAGCTCACCCCAAAATGTACATTTTCATTTTTATTTACATTCATGTCTTTCCAAACCCATATGACTCTTAATATATCTGTAATATATTACAATAATGTTATGATAATTTAGAAAATAATTCTGTACAATGGCAAAACATGAAATAAAGCACCAATTGTGTCACCAAAAAAAAAAAGAAAAAAAAAAAAAGTACATCATATAATTTTCCAAGTGCAAGAAACAACACAACATTTAGGTGGCGGAAATGCACCATTCTTTTACTTTTTCCTGACATTTTTTATATTGTTTGAAAAAACCAACTCAAAAATATGCATTTCTGCTATTGTCACAGAGGCGAACTCCGTGATTCCCTCTTCCGACCATCAGAGGGCTCCCTCACCCGAATATTGACTCTTACACTCTCACACTATATTTCCCATCAGCCCCGTATCTTGCACTGATCACCTAGCCCAGCTGTAGCCCATCAGCTGGCCTATATAAATAGTCTGTTCCTTCC